CACTGAAATCTCTAAGTCCAAGCTACTATACTACTGATACTACTGACTGACTAACTAACTAAAGACAAAGTAACTAACAGAAGAATTCTGTTACACTCAGCAATGCTCAGCAGCTTCAGCCATGCCTTGGCAAACATTACCTGAAAGTCGATTGTCCCAAACCTTCCAGACCTTCTAAAACTGCTTACATGATGATTTACCCCTTTAAACCATTCCCATATGCATCTGTGATCATTCTGATTACTCTAAGTCCATTTCCCCATCTTGTAATTTAGCCAATTCAAATGTGAACTGCCCTTGAAATGCATGAAGCTCACTCTTGAAGCACATGAAGGTCACATTTGAAGCACACACTTAGATCTTAACATGAACAAGTGGGCTGAAGCATGTAAACAGTAAACAAAGGTGGAGGAAGGCTGAAGAATGTACTGGAGTATATAAAGGGGACCTTTGAATTTCCCAGGATGAAGACACGCATGTTATCCCACAAGATACAGTACCAAGAAGTTTCACCATGATTCACAAGCATTCCTGGGCCTCTCAGAAGTGTTTTCTACAGGGGAAATCAGTGTTTCAAGTGCTAAGTTTAATACAAATACCTGGATCAGAGAACCTGGATCAAGTAACCAGTTCATGTATCTGGATGTGGGAACCAGTGAAGGGAACTGAACTGGCTTCTAGGCCAGTGGACCTGTAGTTAGGGGTGCTATGAAGTAAATTAGTTATAAAAGAAGTATCAGTGCCCCCAGACTAAGAGTTAAGTGTTACACACAAAATCACCAAAAATCCCCTTGTTTATCCTCTGGCTTTCCCATTTTCATTCTCAGCATCAGAACTCTTTTCTTGTTGTTTGAAGCATGTACACATTGTTTAAATTAGTATATATCCCATTAATTGACATCTGACCATGCCAAATGATGGGACCTCAGCCAAATAAATTACCCTCATGGCATTTTAATGTGATCCCAAATGTTTACTGGTCTAGGTGCTGTTATTGTGTTTGAAGAACAACAAACAAGATAGTGAAGATAGAGCCTTTGGACAGTTTGATAGAGGTTCTAGGGCAAGGATCCAATGGCAGGAAGTACTGGCAAACACATTGAACCATCAATTGATAACAAAAAACCTCAATTTGTTGTAATCTGTGAGCAATTGCCATAGGTATTTAGCAGTATTTAGTACCTACCATAGCCACAGTTGATCATATGTACAGCCTAATTCCTGCTTAGTACCTGATGCACATGGGTTCAGAGCCACCAAGTGCTGGAGCATATCAGCCTTGTAAAGTTAATGACACAGTAGATGGAGGGTGTTGTTGTTGGTAGCCAAGGGATGGATAATGCTGCTGATGTTTGAGGAAACCTGAGGTCCACATTGTTGAGATTCAGGCTTAAACCATGCTGTATGATCTATAAATCATGTGAGATCATGCTGGGATGTCATTAGACAGTTCACATCTGATTTGGCTAAGTTAGAACATGGGGAATTGGACTTCGAGTAATCAGAATGATCACAGATGCATGTGGGAATGATTTAAAGGGGTAAATCATCATGTAAGCACTCTTAGAAGGTCTGGAAGGTTTGTGGTGATCTAGATCTTCAGGTAATGTTTGCCAAGGCATGGCTGAAGCTGCTGAGCACTGCTGAGCATGGCTGAGCATGTAAACAAGTGGGCTGAAGCATGTAAACAGTAAACAAAGGCAGAGGGAGGCTGGAGAATGTACTGGGTTATATAAAGGGGACTTTTGAATGTCTCTGGATTAATACAAGCATGTTATCCCACAAGTTACTGCACCCAGAAGGTTTACTAGCAGCCACAGGCATTACTAGGCCTTTCAGAAGTGATTTCTACACAGGAAATCAGTGTTCCAAGCACTAAGTTCAATACACATTAATTCAAAAAAACATCCAAGAGTGATCTCTCACCTACTTATAAGCTTCAGAATAGGCCAGTTTCTAATACATGATTTGGCTCAGGTAGAAGTGGGTTGGTGGTATTGTGTACTGACTTTTATTAAATCTCCTCTGTGGTATTAGCACTGCAAAGTGTACAAATTGAGAATCTACCAAATGGTTCCTTCAGATACCTTGCTTTGGCAGGTGTGTGGGAAGGAAAGAGGGAGTGATTCTTCAATGCATCTCCTTTCTGCACATTGGCCTACTTTTCATCTTGGGGAAGCCATGGCCCAAATTTGCTTTAAACTTTTTTCAGAACTCTTGCAGCATTGCTTTAATTTTGCTAAATTGTCCCATTATGTCAGCCTAGTCCTCCATCTGTGTTAGAGATCTATGTTCCTTGCAATTACCTTTATGTAGTCAGAGCCATCTGAAAATACTTGAGTTGGGCATTGCCCAATACTATGAAAATCAATGTCAGTGGCTGCTCCTCCTTCTCTCTGCATCTCTCAAATCCTTCTCATGGGCACTCTGCAATGCTCAATCTCCCTTATGCACCATAGCTCTTCAAATACCAGTAGAAGCTATGGGTAGTAAGATTCAAAAAAACTGGAGACCTCACACATTTGCATATGACTCAAAGGTGTATACCATGCTGTATACAACAAGGGGGGGCCTGCCGTGGTCCAGACTTGCTGGAATGTTTGCCAAGGCAAGACTGAGTATGGCTGACCTTTTCACTTTTCTTGGGCTTATTTGTGGTTGAAGGCTTTGTCTGTGCAGCATGGAATAACAACAATGGTGGAGGATGGGCTGAAAGAAGGTAATTTAAAATATAAAGGGGAGGTTCCAGCACCATAATATAATTGTAAGTATGATTCCATGAACTTAAAGCACCCAGTAGTCTTACCAGCATTCACAAAAATTCTGGGCCTTTCTGACTTGATAATTAATACCAAGAAGTATTGCTTCAAGTGCAAAGTCTAACATAAAGATGGGTTTTGGTATTGAGGCAGGGGTAAGTGGTATGTGCAGGAAGGCAGTGGGGAGAAAGTAGGTCAGTATTAATATTTATATGGCTATCAGATCAACATATTAAAGTAAGAAATTTGCTCTGGCTATCTGGGCTCATCTTTTTTTAGATCTATATACACTAATTATATAAAGGGAAAAAATATATTGAGCAGAGAGAATATAAGAAAACTTTTATTATTTTAATAATATTTTTATCTATGCAGTTAATTTATAGAAGCTTTATAAACCCCTACACTTACTTTTAGAAAATACTAGGGCAGTCTAGATATTTAATATAGGATCTTATTTTTATACTTCTTTGTTTTAAAATTCCTAATAATATAGTCAATAGGTTATATACAGCTTCTCAGAAGTTATTCAGTGAAGTTAATAACTCTGTTGGGTACTATACTATTATATTATCCAGTATTAAAGAATATTTTTGGAAACCTGCTATTAAGAGAGCATAAATAATACAACTTCCTAGTAAAGGAATATGACAACTTGCAGCCAGTGCTTCTAAGAACCATTTTGGTCTTCTTCCTATGGTTCAAGTTTCCATCCTATGACATCTTCATTGCAATCAATTATTTCTCACAGTAGTGATGCTGCATATTTTTTCCATGATTGAGAGAACTAAGATGACATTTGCCTGATTGTTGCCAATGAGCTATCTTGCTGAAGCAATATGGATCCATTGGTACAGTCAATCAGATATTGTTTATGACCACACAAACGAAGCGACCCACACATGACGTATACCAACAAGGGATTGGATATGCAGTGCTCTCATTACACTGGGTACAGACATTGTTCATCAATTATGATATACCGTGTACACAAAAACAACCGCTTTCCCCGTAGGACTCCCTGGCCATCCTCCGTCCCTGTGCACTGCATATTGTCAAATGCCTCATATACGTCTACAAGGTCCTGAGCTTTGACGGCGCCAGTGTGTCCTCCAGACAGGCTATACAACTCCACACAATGCCGAAACCCCACAAAACAAACCTCCCCACTGTCAACCGATGGGAGATTTGATTGATCAAGAATGGTACATTCACACCATAGGACAGCAAGTCCCGGCGTCTTCCATGTTCGAAGAACCCGTAGTCGAGAGGTGGGATGCAGGATATACTGATCTGCGTTAAAAAGAGTTGGTTTTGTGCCTTACCGCAAGTTACACGGTGTAAATCAAAACGAACCTCGTCGCTTCAGCATATGGAGCCACATAATGGCATCCGACTTGTCTCGGAAAACAAGAGATGACAAGCGATCTGCATATCCTCCACTGTTCGAAGTTAGACGCGGGCGCACATGGTCAGACTCTTGCGGAATATGGCTTAAGATCTATGTGGTATGTCCTTACCCAAGGAGTCCTTTCCTACTTCTCCGCCGCTCCTGAACCAGGCCAGACTCATCACCTGGTATCTTGAACCCAGGGGTGGCCCACGATGTGCGATCAGGTGTTGGGCTGACAACTTCGTTTGCTGATCGATCAGAAGGTACCGTAAACCGAATCGGTATCGGTGTTGTGTCATGTTGCCGCTTTGGTATGTCTTTCGAAATTAATGGGGAGGCAACTGGAACATGTCCAATGGTGTCTGGCTGGACAGCGCGTTACTTTAAGGAACATCAACATCCTTTGGTAAAGTCATGACGAAGACCTTGGGTGTATCTGGCGCTTCTGAAGGCGGTCTTGACGTTGGTGTCCGTTTTTGACTATTTGATGGCAGAATGAAATGGTGCATTGTTGCTATTATTTCGACCGCGACTGTCCTGGGTCAATAATGCTTCGTTGTTGCCATGTCAACAATTCAAGGTCAGAGTATGATAGAGTCAACAGCGGGCTTGGACTGCCATCATTCGTTACAAGTACTAGCGAACTCCGGCCTGAGAATGGGCGATGCAGGTTTTTTCAAGGTATGGGAAGATTGTGGGGTCCGGTAGAACTGGCGCTGAGTGGTCGTTCCACACGAAGCCGAAATCTAACTGTCAGCGCTGATGACACAGGGCACAAGTGCCGAGCAAGATGCACGCTTCGGTGACAAGCAGAAGAAGCTTCTGAAGACAATGAAGTTTCCAAAAATCTACGACCAAAAGGTATGAATGGACTTCTTCGGAGGGAGAGCAGGAACGGTATGCCGTGGGATTCTGCAGGAGATCCTCGCCAGGAGGCATGGAAAGGCAGGAGATTTGATGTTTCTCGAAGCGGCAACAACATTATCTAATTATGCACTGTTGGGTGTAAATGAACAGTAATGAATTTTCCTGCGGACTTTGCTGGGCTGCTGTGCGCTCGCAAGATGATGGAAACGCCCCTCGTTGTCCAGGAGTTTCAACCAACCATTTCGTCATTTGGGATGCTGACTTCCAGGTAGACATCAAGAAAGTCAATACGAATGTTATCAAGCCCTGGGTGACCAGCAGAGTGGTGGAACTTATGGGGTTCGATGATGATGTTTTTGTTGAATTTGTATTCAATTTGCTTGAAGCGGAGGTATGAACAGAGTAATCTTCGTTCAGGGGCATTTTCGCTTAACATGTCATAAATATCATTCCTCATCAAAGAAACTGGATCCGCGAACGATGCAAATCGAGATATCCGGATTTCTCGAGACAAAAGCACCTATATTCATGGAAGAACTGTGGGGTCTGCTGGTCAGTGCCCAAAATACTATAGGAGGTAATTGTTAACCGCCTCGGAAGACTTTACTTGCCATAAATAGCCTGACCAATGGTCTTACTATCGCAGGTATTCCCCAAGCTTTCTTGGATCAAAAGAAGGAGGAAATAATGGCAAGACGGGTATGGGACAATTGCAGTTACATGGATCTTGTTGCCAAGTATTTAGCCTACATCAACTCGGTAGCGTGAAAACGAACACATAGCAGCACAACTACAGAAGCAGAAGGACAAGGAAGTAGCTGAGAGAGCGGAGCGCGATGAAGCACGCAAAAAGGACAGAGAAGACCGAGGAGGGGCTGATCGTTACCGGAATGACCGTCAGCGTCGACGGTCACGATCTCGCAGTGGTGATCGATACAGAAGCAGAGATTATGATAACCGTTATGAACAACGACGTGATCGACCTGATGAGAGAAGATACAGAGATGAATATCGTGGTGCACGTGACCGATCAGATGCGCATGATGGCCGACGGGACGAGAGATATGGGCGGGAACGTAATACAGGACGGCGTGACCAAGATAACGATTACAGGAGTGATGAGCGTCGAAGGGTGGTCGACGATCGGGATATCAGAGATAAGCGAGAGCGCACAGAAAGGTCAGAGAGATATACCACTGATCGTGAAAGGAGAGATGACTATGAAGTAAGTAGGAGAACCGAGAGAGGTCGCGATAGGAAAGAAGAACACAGCGAACAGAGCCACCGAAGACAAAGAGAGCCGCGGGAACGTTTGCCTGAAAACTCCGCGGGCAGCGGAACTGACTATACTAGCGATAGCGATGCATCCAGCTCGTCTGCATCATCACGAACTTCCACCTCACGTAGTCGGTCATCGTCTAGGGATAGTGGTTCCCCGCCACGCAAATCTCATAAACGAGAACGTGACGTGGCGGACGAGAGTCGACGACGCAATGGTAGCACAAAGGTGGGAGAGCGGCGAAGGAATGATAAAGATGATGGAAGCAGAAAACGGCATCGGGAGGAAGCAGTCCCCCTTTCTCATTCCTGGAAGGACAGCCTGGACAATAGCGAGTCAGGTAAAACTAAGAAGACTAGATCAGATGGAGATAAGGAGTAAGTAGTGCTTGTACATAAGGTTCTGGATCAGGCTGCCATGGGAGAGCCTGCCAGGTGAGGAGGGTGGTACAAATAGACAGGTCCCCATGTTCTGCGGAAAGTAAATATCGTATTATCACAGAACATCACATAAAATGAGGAGAATTCTAAGCGGCATCCGCAAAGCCAACACGATTCTTGCCCAAGTCGTAAACAGTGTAGTACTTGCGAAGGAATACATCACCAACGATCCAGAGCGGACCCGCCGGCGCAGGGATCTGCAAATGGATTCATCAGTGTCATCTTAGGTTTGCGTAAAGTGTCAGTGTTCAACTTACGTCAAGGCCCATAAAGCCCGACACGCATTGGTTTCCTCCGCCAATGGGGCCTCCGCTAACTTGCAGAACATAATCTTTCCCTGAGGGGAGCATTTGATGAGCGTTGCCGGTTCCAGAATATGAACGTTCATCATGTACCTTCTAATGTGAACTCCTTATCGCCAAACTTGAGCGTCAATGCTGGCAATGTGGAAATCTTGTCGCAATCTACCACGTATTGCCCGTTAAAGTTCTTTTTTGCACCAATACGAGTGTTGATGGCATCCGCTTCCTCCACCGGTAATGCGCAGAGAGATGTACCTGTCATGGCCGAGGCATCAGACGCGTAGTTTGTGGAATGACTCTCCATCTCTTACCGGTATCAATAGCGGCTCTCTTTGTTCGGACGCCGATATCTTGGCCGCCGAGCGTTGCGTTTTGCAGCTCCACCTCCCAGTACCCCTTTCGGATGACAGGGGCCCACGCTGTAGTAAAGCAGCCTATGAGCCATGCACCACCTCACTACCAATGATCGGCACGGACGTACTTATTTCTCCCTTATAGTGGTCTTTGTCAATACCTCCAAAAGTAATCTCTCCTCCTTCACCTCCATTTGATTGATCACCAAACCAAGCACCAAAGACGGGCTCATCAAGGAGACCTTGCTATTTATCATGAAGATAGTACTGTTATGAGAAGTCTATGATTAATGGACGTTGTCATGATCATACCTGAATCATCTGGTAAAATGGAGGAACAACGCGCTTCACGGCAATGTTGTCATATGCTGGAGAGTACATGTATTAAAAGGTGCTTCACCGCAGTCCGATCGCACTTGAACCCTTACCCAACCCAAATATCCCGTCGAATCGTCCAACAGCAAAAGTAATTCCCGGCTCTTTAACGGACTCTCCAAAGTCGATATCTTTGACGAGCAGATCGGCAACTCCGAGGACATCCTGTGCAGTCAATATCATATTAGAATACAACCTTGGAAAGCGGCATAAATGTTTCCGCTGCTCACGTTACTGATGATTCCTTCAAGTGAGCCCGAGCCATATTGGATTGCAAACTCGGTTCCGTTAGGTTTGAAAGTACTGGACTTGGAAGAATCGAATCGCCGGTGTAGCCAACAGGCGATAGAAGAACAATGAGTAGAGGGAACCCAGAGATTGGAGGACCCCGTATCCAGGACAACACTAAACGTTTGAGGTGGTGTTCCTAGTTTTTCACAATATGAGGGCCAGTTCACTACGACAAATTTTGCAAGGGTTTCAGCTGCTCACCGAGGGTAATCTCTCCATAGTATTGAGCATTCATAAAGTTGGTGAGAGGCACGCCATGCTCAGCGTGGCCCTTGTCACTAGTAATAGAAAGCTGCCCATCATCGGATTGTGTCATCAAAACCTTCTGCTTGAGAAGATGGGCTTGCGTGTAATGTGCAAGAAGGCTCTTTTTCGTATGTGGGAGTTTTTTCAGTTTCATTCTGCAGGCAAAACATTCCAAAGTATTTGTCAACATGTCTCGTTTCTATCCTGCGTCAAACTGCACTCTTACTTTGTTGGCTTGGCAATTGTCGCAGTGGCGAGCAACGTCGCGACGAGGAGCGACAGGATCTTCATTGCGGCCTTCTCAAACACAAACAGGATACAAGTTTAGAGGGATAAGAAATGAGAGATTTGTTCAGAGGAAATGCAGAGCGAAAGAAAGTCGAAGGGGGAAAGTCTCCCTCCCCCTAGGATCACGCTGGTTATTGCTAAGCCCCACAAAGTCATGACATCATCATCTGACTTTGGAACACTTGCCTAGTCTTGCGTGCAATCGTTTTATTTCACCATGATCTTTGTTATCAATACAGTATATGGCCCATACGACAGGCGCTAACAAGATAATATGTGCATTTGAGCATGCCAACTGCATGATGGTCAGCACTACATTGAATGTCATCGACAAGGGCTGCATCAGACATGGCGCTTTGGCCTCAGTCTCTCCAAAACTATGCATTTTTTTCTAACTGAAGACTGCCCCATATACATTGGGTGCAGGTCTGCCAACGGCCATGCACAGATGATAGCTACCAAGAACATTTCCAGAATGACACTTGAAGCGATAACCCCAAAAATGCTTAAACAGTTTCTTATCACCTTTTTGATGAAGCCTCATCTCACACTAAACAAACGCGTCATCGCAAAAAGCAAAGCCTTCGTTGACATCATTTCACCCCCTCCGATCTTTCTTTCTTAAATTGAACAGCACTTTTTGGTTTCCTTTTGTGTAGATCTCAACTTAACAACTCTAGATTTTCGCTTCTACCAAAATCCAACTTTTATCCCCCCCAATGTCCGCTCCTCGTCGAAAACTACCTCCACCGCCAGTCGGTCTGACGAGGCGACAAACACATCATAATGTCTCTATCCCATTAAATGGAACTATGATTCAGTATTTCGAGTAAGTTATGTAAAGGGACCTTATCATATCATCTTGCGCTAACAGAGATGGGAATTCAAAGATGGCATGTCCCCGCAGATCATAAACATTGGACGCGTCTTAGAGACGATGCTCAAAACTTGAAAGATTTGGGAATAACAGCGATATGGATCCCTCCACCAACGAAAGGGTTAGCGTGGCTCTGATATATAGGAAGAATGGAAAACGATATTCTAATCCTGCTTACACAGATCGAGTCCCGCCTGTGTTGGGTACGCCACATGTATGTTCACTTGTTTTATATCAATATCTGGTTTGGGACAGAAACTCACCCTACACTCATCCAAAGACGATCTGTGGGATCTTGGTGAATTTGACCAGAAGGGCTCGGTGCCAACAAAATATGGAACCAAAGCAGAGCTCGTGGATGCCATAAAGGCGTGCAGACAACGGGGAATAAACGTCTACGCAGACGCTGTCCTAAATCACAAACTGGGTGCCGATCAAACGGAAACTTTCAAAGCCGTCGAGGTATCGCCGCATAATACTGAGCAAGAAGTATCGGGAGAGCTGGAAGTGAAAGGCTGGACAAAGTTTGACTTCCCTGGAAGGGCAAACAAATATTCGGATTTTAAATGGCGTCACTATCACTTTACTGGCATTGATTACAATGCAGCAAATAAGCGTCAAGCTATATACCGAATACTAGGAGAAGGAAAGTACTGGGTAAGTGACGGCCCGTCTGCTGTCAGTTCCTTTTATCCACGTGATCTGACCTTCGATGGTAGTCTGATAATGTCGATGGCGAGAGAGGCAATTATGACTACTTGATGGGGGCGGACATTGATACAAGTCATCCAGAGGTGGTCGAAGAACTCAAAAAGTGGGCATTGTGGATCATAAAAGAACTGGACCTTTCTGGATTCAGATTGGACGCCGTCAAACACATCGATGCAAAGTTCATGCATGACTTGCTGGAACATGTTCGAAAGAATTCAAGTGTAGGAGAAAACTTTTTTTCAGTCGGGGAGTACTGGAAGAACTCTATGAAAGACCTCGAAGACTATCTTGACATCCACGAGTGGAAACTGTCCTTGTTTGATGTACCGCTTCACTTTAATTTTGCGGATGCTAGTAAATTGGGCAAATCTTATGATATGAGAAAGATCTTTGATGGTACATTGGTGCAATCTCATCCAATGCATGCGGTTACATTTGTGGTGGGTAGTGGAGGCGTTCAATATGCATGTCAGACCATTTGCTGATATCTTTTTCCACTTACCAGAACAACCACGACACACAGCCGGGTGAATCACTAGACTCGTGGGTCGCTCATTGGTTCCAGCCGCTAGCCTACGCCCTGATATTACTTCGACGAGATGGGTATCCATGCATCTTTTACGGCGATTTTTACGGTATTGACGGCGAACATCCCGTTCCCGCACACGCTGCGCCAGCCATACGTAACCTGCTAATTTTGCGATCCCAATTTGCGTTTGGGGATCAGGATGATTACTTTGACCATCCGAGTACTATAGGATGGGTCCGGCGTGGTTGTGAGCAGCGTCCTGCCGGATTGGCAGTTGTGATGTGTGCTGGGGATGCGGGGTTCAAGCGGATGTTTGTTGGTAGCGAGAGGAATGGAGAAGAATGGGTTGACGTAGCCGGGGGCCGTAAGGAAGTATTGACCATTGGCCAAGATGGATTTGCGGATTTCCAATGCAATGGGGGTAGCGTAAGTGCCTGGATTCCAAGAAAGGAAGCAGAGAAAACATTCAAGTGGAAGCGGGAAGAGCTCGCGGCCCTATCGGAAGCCAGTGAAACTGAAGGCGAGGACACTGTAGAACGGTAAGATAAAATGGAAATAGTAGACAAATGTACCATAATGATGAACAAACGATATCTGGTCGATCTTCTTGTCCCATTGAAAGTAATAACCTGCTGTCTCTGCTGTCACGCTTTACCAATTTAAAGTGAGGTCCCCATAATCTCGATTATTTGCATCGCAAAAGAACATCCTTCTGGCGCGTTTCCCCATCCCCAGATCATGACCACGGCACCCGACATTCACAGCCTAATCACATCCCACACCGCTCTCCCGACGCCCCTCCCCCCTCTCACCCTCGACGCTGACGAACGCACTCCGCTCCACACCGCCGCTACCTCCAAAAATCTCGCTGCCATCACCCTCCTCTCTCCCCTCACCAGCACATTAGCTGACCCACAAGATTGGACTCCCATACACATTTGTGCGTCGAATGGGTTTATTGAGGGGTTGGCTGTCCTACTACGTGATCATCCCACACATGTGAACGATCAGACGGAAAGTGGACAATCTGCGCTCCATTTTGCGGTATCTAAAGGGTGGAACGAGATTGTGGTTGCGTTGTTGGATGCTGGCGCGGACCCCAATCTTCCAGACAACTATGGTATGACGTCCCTTCACCGGGCTGTGCATCGTAGTAGGTACGATATTCTGAATATCTTGGTGGCCCGTGGTGGGAATATCAACGCTGCAGATAAAGAGGGCGTGACGCCGCTCATGGGGGCCGCGGAGGACGGTGATGAGCAAATGGTAAGGGCGCTGCTGGAGAAGGGGGCGGACGTGGGCAGGGTGGATAAGAGCGGACGAAGAGCAGTGGATGTTGCGGCTGCAAGTGTCAAGAGGTTGGTGTCGGTTGAATGATAGTAGGAGGTATTATCCATAGGAATGGTGGGCCCGGGTAGCATCTTGTGCATATAATGCAATAAGACGAGTCAGTGTGGGCAAGTGTACTTTTAGGAGGCATCATGTTGGTATGTTGATAATGAAATATATATTGGATAAGAAAGAAAAACAGGCAGAAATATAGAAAAGAACCGCTATAAAAAAAAACATGGATGTCCTAGTCCTACATCATTCGACACCGTCCACAAGAGGAAGCCTCTTTCGCAATTTACCGTTTATTTCCGTAGGCGTCAAAGACTCCTCATCATCGTCATCATCGTGCTCATCATTCCTATCATACTCGTCTTGGTCCTCTCTCTCTTCCTCCTCATCACTCATAATAGGGGAAGCATCGGACCATGGAGAGGCAAGATGTGCCTCATGCGTCGCTTCCGGTTGAGGTTGAACAGAATTTTTGCGGCCAACCGGTCGGACTCTGGTTCCTGAAAGAGGATACCGTCCCCCACCTTTACCACTCTCGGTGACAAGTGGTTCCAAATTCGTATGAGATTTCTCCTTCTCGAGAGCACGAAGAACGGCTTGGTGGATTTCTTGTTCGGCGGGTTGGTCAACCGGTTGCAGCAGGGCCTCGGTCAAGGTTGCGGCGCGAGTAAGGGGCCGTGACGAAGCCATGAGAACTCTCTCAGCGCTCACGCGCCCATCCAGAACGATTTTCGAGCCAGTTTCATCGGGGCGACCTTGTCCCATTTCGAGAAGAGTCGATATTTGGGTCTCTGAGATCCAAGGTACCGTGCGGATAGGTGTAGAGTCGGCTTGGACGGTCGCAGACGTGTCCGACCATGTTTCGGCGTATTCGTGAAGGAGGCCGAGAATGGCAGGGTATACTGTCTTTTCGAGGCCTCGCGCCCACAGAAAGCATATGTGCTGGTGTACGTGCGCACGGCTGGCGTGAGACAGCTTTCCAGGCGGACAGCAAACGGAAGATAAACCTTACCTCATACTCATCCACCTTCATACAATAGATGGGTGTCGCGGTCTCTTCCAATAACCAGTTCATATCCGCCAACGTATCCTTCCCTCCGTAAAACAATGCAATCGGCGTCTGAATATGCTCCGTCGGAAACTTTGGCACAACATGGCCCGATGAAGAGTTGGGGAGTACAGTCGGACTTTCGTCGTACATTTGGAACCGTCCGTTCCGGATAATTTGGAACCAATGGACCTAGTATACAAACATTAGCTCAACGCTTTATAGCATGTTGAAGAAATACCCAGAATAAATCTTACCACACACTTGACGGATGTGTAGGAGTACAAATGCTGATAACAAACATTCTTATGATCAATCATTTCTGCATTCCACTTGAACAGAAACCGCACAGCGACATCAATCAACCACGCAAAACTGAGTGGTGTCAGAATGCTCTGCCAAAAGAGGGTAATAGACAACAGAGATTTACGACCAAAGAGAAGGAAAACAATTTCCGGGGAGATATTGAGCATAGTTCCTAGGACTTTGTTTTCGAGGCCCATCGGCTTCGCGGCGGGTGCGAGAGCCACAAAGAGGTTGATACGTTTGTTCAGCTTGGAGTTGATGGAGAGGGATGAGAATCCCTGTGCTGTGCCTGTGACCCAAATTGTGAGATCACACATGGCCCTTACATCTGAATCAAAGAGTCCTCGTCCTTACCTTGCGAAAAACCAATGTACGTGAGCGACGGGACACCCGTCACTTTGAGAATATACTATAAGATCGCAAGCGTGTGAGACAAGCGATCAACCTGTTACCATCATGCGCCGGACTCACATCAACTGCATCCGGTAAATCATATAAAGCCAAGTGATCCATCGAAAAGTCCCAAAATGCTTCTTCCGTGGGTTTCAAACTCCGATGTTTACAGCTATACTTGTTCCCTCGTGTATTCCCCAACCATACATCATACCCCGCATCAGCCAAGGTAAAGGCAAGGGACAGCTTTGGATCAGGAGTGCACACCCAGACTTCAGAGCACATGAGAAACCCATGCCAGAGGAGGACGACAGGGCGGTTGTTGGTTGACTGTCGTGTTGGACGGGTGCCGGACCGACGGGCGAGGGCCTTTTCCCGCTTTCTGGATTCATGTTCGGCGCGAGAGGTGGGTATACGATGGAGGGCGAGGATATAGCCATCTTTGCTTGTCACATAGTGGTGTTGGAAAGGAAAGCCCCTGATGATGGAGAGAGTTAGTGACCAGGTTTTGCGTCATCTGAATGCCCTGCGGTGGGCACCGCATGGCGACATGGCACGGGGTACATGCCAGGCCAGCCATACAGCACAGGTTAATCAACACAAAGCGCCAATCACTTTTGCAAAATATCTGCCTCTTCAAAAGTTCCTCACCAGCACTGCACCACCACGACCAGCTTCCCACACTCGTTCCATTCAGCCCAAACTCACCAAAATCGTGCAAACTCTTCCGTCGAGTTCAAGGTCTCAAACACCTTTTCCGCCTTTTCATCCCCATTCTTCTGATCCTCTGACGCATCCTTGTCTTGTTTAAACATTTTCCTAATCCAGTCTACAATGTATCTCAACGGCCAAAAGACCGCGAATACAAATCTCAAAATCGGTTCGGTAATAAGAATGGTGACTGCCAGAAAGAGCCGAAGGTAGTCTTGGATTCGCAGCCGTCCGAGGACGGGGATGTAGGAGAGCATATTCCTTCGTCGCTTTATAAATGTAGATGACTTTCAGATGAGGTTTTCCGAGGCTTGTTGTCTTTTAACAGCTTTTGAAATAACGCGCATCATCATCATCAGCGCGTTCCTTTTGAATTTCACATGTTGGATAAAGGGATGATGACGTTAAAAAGGTCGAACGATCGCTAAAGTGTCGAGTTTATTGTTTTATTCAATCCAGAATCGTTACTTGCTCGTTTCCTTGGGGGGGAGATTGCTTGAACTCTTTATTTGCAATAGTACGTACGATGTGCAGTCATTCCAACAGGATGTTTAAATAACCGTTTAGCCCCCATCCTTTTCATGATGATTGTTCCAAGAACCATTGTTGTTTTGGTTTTCTTGCAAGGAAATGCCTTCACTCCAATGCCCACCGCAGTCATCTCCTTTGAGTAAATTGCCCTTTTGGCAGATCAAAAATTTCCATAATCCATCGCCAGTCAGCACACTTGAACAGGTCTTGGCATTTTGATGACTTTTTAAACGCCTCCAGATTCCCTTGTCCTTGTGCTTTCTTGAATTTTACTTTTGGAACATGGACATGGAAACAGAATATACCATCATCGAACCTTCGGATGAGACCGAGGTCGTTCTTGGCAGGACTGCTGAAGGAACAGACATTTCAGTACAAGGAGATCCGTCGGTGTCACGTACGCCAAGAGAGAAAATGACCAATGTCTTTACGGGTTTGGTACGTTTCCTAGTGTTGCTTGTTTTCATGTAAACAGGCTCGCCTTACTTGTTGTGTGTCCAGCGTTTTCTGGTAGGCGTCGCATCAGCAGCGAGCGAAGTGGGCTTTGCAGCCGCCAAGCTCGGTACCAAATTCGGGATCGGTATCGCCCGCGGGATCGTCGACGGTGTCGGTGAAGCAACCGGTCTCGACGCTACAGGTGTCACACCCCTCGTCTCCAATACACTAGCCTTTGCAGAGTTTTGCGCCATAGCTGGCATAGAGACGGGTCGCTTCTGGACAAAATTTGGCATCTCCACTGCTGACAATAGCGTCAAGGCGCTCAACCATGTATTTGGATCCAGCGAAGTGGCAACAGCAATCCGACAATTTGCTGCATTGGTCAGAAGAGAAATGTCGGAAGGGGAGAATGGTTTGAGTTTGGCGGATATTGGTACCGTGGACACTGTGCGAGCTTTGATGGCGTGGGTATCTCTGCAATCCACCACTTCTCTCCTATGGGATTACGACGCAGTCAATTCAGGAAAGACCTTGGTGCTTGAGCAAGGTGGTCCCATAATAGAAGAACCTGATGAGCCGGTAGAATGGACTCATGTGGAGGGCGCCGCCGCGGTCGAGGGAAGTATTGGAACGCCTTCTGCGGACACATCCGAACCCAACCCAGCAGATACCGATACCACCCAAGAACTTGTTGCCGATCTTCGTCGCTACATAAAGTTTGCAACAGGAAGCTACGGGCGCAACTACATTGGCGCCCTCAATGGCCAAATACCCACATTTGGCTTTGCAGCCGATCCAGACCCCCGTCACGTTCCCGCATCTGCTGAACACCAGTTTTTCGCCTCACACACCGATACACCCCTCGAAGGAATATTTCATTCCACCCATGACACGGACGGCTTTGATGACATTTTCGCCAACCACCAGACCTACAAACCCACTTTATACGTCATTGCTGACCACGCCGCGCACCAAATCATTGTCTCCATCCGCGGCACTCAATCCTTTCACGATGTCCTGGTGGATCTTACTTGCGAATACGACTTTTTTGACGACGAACAGGTGCATTCTGGCATGATGCGCGCCGCTCAAGCTTTGGCGGGGGTCAACCACGTTGCACGCGTCCGTGAATCCGTCCAGAGCCTCTTGGAACAACACCCGTCCTATTCCCTCCTTCTCACAGGTCACTCCCTGGGCGCCGGTCTGGCGACTTGCCTCGCACTCGTGTGGACGGATCGCTCGACAGGTACAATCCCCTCTGAAAGCGGTCTCCCAGCCGGGCGCAATGTCCGTTGTTACGCCTTTGCGCCACCTTGCGTTGTGACACCCGCACTATCAGCTTCGTGCACGTCCTTTATTACGTCTTTTGTTTTTGGCACGGATTTAGTCTGTCGTCTCTCCCTCGGCTCTGTACGCGATCTTACTCGCGTGGTAGCCTGGCTTCATACTCACCCATCCGAGCGGGACGATCTTCTCCAGCGCGTGGCATTTGCCCAGGGATCTGATAGTTTTGACAACGGAGGGGATATTGACCTCCGTCGCCGAATCGAACGGGAATGCATGGTGAATGATAAGTTGTACCCTGCTGGACGTATCGTATGGGTGCAGGAAACGGATGGCGTGCTAAAAGTCATTCAAGTGGAGAGACCGTCCAAGGCTTTAGGACAGATTCTGTTTACCAGAACGATGGCGAGAGATCATTTACCTAACGTCTATTCGAATGTGGTTCAGAGATTGTAGAAGTGTTGTTGGCTTTATTTTCGCTTTTGATATTCAGTTTTTTATATTAATGACTTTTATATAGTGAGCTCGTTTGTTGGCTTCATTTACGTAGTGTCCTTGCTTGTTGAGTTTTATTGGTTTTAGCTTCTTACTGTTGTAGTTTGCATGTACATGTTTTATCACGGTGAACACGTTACTGCTTATTCATGTATATATCGTTCCTGGCACACACATGGTGCATTCTCCGTGAAAATATAGAAAGATGTGCAGCAGATATATATATTCCTTTCTCATGCTGTATTTACACGTGCTTGCACAATTCACAGACAAATACTCACTTTCTTCCGGTATCACTCCTCCAAATCCTTTTCCACACCCACGGCATAACCAAGAATCCCACCCCACTCCCAAACACCAACACAAATGTCACAAATCCCCTAGCAAATCCCCGTAAGGCTTTCATGGCGTCCTCCATCTCATCTGATAGGCCACGGACATTCCATCGAAGGTTGGATACATCTCGACCCAGGATGGTCACCTGGCTCCCAATCCAGAGGAGATAGATGATGCCAAGGAGGGGAACTGAGATTTTAAGGACTTCCTTGCCAAGTGTGATAAGATGTCTGTAGGCGTGGGTGAGGAGTGTCCCTGTTAGATGGGTAAGGCGCACACCCATCGTCCACAAGGTGTGCCGCCACTGAATCGCAACACCAAGACTTAAAAGTCCTCCTCCGGCAAGGAATGCAGTTTTGTACGCATTCCACAAGGGTTGGATGACCTCCAGTGCAATTTGGAACGGGTTGGGACAAGTCGCGTGGGTGAGAAGGATCTGGTGTACAGCGGTATCAATCTCCATATTTCGTTCGTGGGCAGATCCGGAGCCGGCTCCAACGATATGGTGCATAATATCGTGGTCGTAAGAAGATGGAAAGTGTTTAATCATGGGTTTAATGATTTTGTCGCGCTCCATCTTGATGCGCTTGTGAAGTGCTTCTTTCAGAGACGTTGTGAACCACCATTTACATATACGGTCCGGGGTATCCCGCAAGCCTAGAAGCCAGTCCATGACTTCATCGTGAGCTGCGTCCCCCTTGGCTTTGATTTCAGTCTCGGCCCAAGTGATGTAAACATTTTCCCACTGCTCCACGCGATTGGCGAGTTCTTTTTCTAGAAAGGCAATCACCATGACTCCCCGAGGATCTTCCCCCAGGTTTTTGACGCTTGCTTTCATTTTAGCCATTTCAACGTCGGCAAGGGCCTGAAGTTTTTTTGTGAATGTGGCAAAGTCTCCTTGCATAGTGATGGGAAGTTTGGCAGCGGCAGCATCGAAAGCACGTAGGAGGCGCTTGGCTTCGTGCTCCAGTTTAAGTTGAACGGCCCGGGCCCAGTTTGTGTGTTCAGGGATTTGTATGGGAGCTTCCTTATCCCAGAGGGTGATGAGCTTGACGAGCTCGGCTCCACTCAGATTCCGACCGTTGAGTCGTTTGGGCGCAATATGGGTGCTGACGGAATGATGCAGTGATGTGACATCCTTTCGATATTCCTATTCGGCGCAATGCCTTGTCAGAACAGGAGGAGGTTAACGTGCTGACATGCGGACTACCTACCTCTTTAAAGTCCGCCCACCCAATCTCATCACCATCACCAGCCATCTTGGCGTCATCATCGCTGGGTCTCACGATCGGAACGAGTTCAATAGTGCCAAACTATGTAACAGGTCAATACCACCGGCCACCGTATACAGATTCAAAACATATTCACAAGTCCTACCTGTTGCTGCAAGAACCTGACATCCACATTAGCATCCTCCAAAAAGGTATCCTTTGTAATCAACTGATCCAGAAACTCTTTCGCAGTCCATCCTGCCTTACGTAGCGCATATTTGTTAAAATTCTGGACGGCCCAGTGGAGGTTGGGTGGATCCAGGTGCTCTGGGATGGCAATAAGGTCATGCTCCTCGCCAGGAACCGTAAGCGGTAGCGTGTTGTTTGAATCCACGGTAGCGGCAGCAACGTCCATCATGAACAGGCGAGAGAACGCTATATTTGGCACAGTAGAGTGAGACCCTGTCGGAAGTTTAGCTTCTGATTTGATTGACTCACCCACAAGTGCCTTCAAGTTTCGTACATCAGCGGCATCCACCGGTGCCCACGTATTATATAGCACCGCGCTGGCAAGCATGGAGGCATGTACAAACAATTCGACCTCGTACGCAATAGTTTGAACGGACTCTACTCCGTGCAACCCCTCACTATCAATCAAATACGTTGGAACCCCACCCATAGTGATAGGTTTTGGCCAGATCCATAAACCTGTCGGTCGGATGGTGTGTTGGAATATGTTGATAGATGGACGAATTGTTTTTTTTAGGACCTACCGTGCGTTTTGGATGCGACGCCGCCTCCAACCGGGAATGGGATTGCGGACTTTGTCACCCGCGTTGAAGCGTCGCTACCATTTTCAATGCGTACTATTTGGTTTAGCAACTACAAATAGACTATGAGTTTGAACGAACACGCTGGAATGCAAATCCCTCTTGACCTACAAAAGACTTTCCCGTCCGCGTCGGTCCAACCGCGGAAACAATGGCAAAAGGCGCGTAGAGTGAACCCAAGAACGCCGATCCCTCTGGTGTGAGACGAAGTCGGGTGCCTGCTACCGTATCGCTATCGTCCTTTGTCCGGCTGAACAGGAGGATGGGTGTGTTTTCAACTGGCAAGTGCGGGGATTGGGCGCTAACGGCGAACGCGACGTAGAGGAGAAAGAGAAGGCGACAGTATGGGGATCGCATTGGCGAGGGCTTTCGTTTGCGTTGTGCGTGTGTGTAAGATGGTTTCCTTGATGGATGCCTTGCAGATGGCCTTTTTGACAGTCGAAGAGCGCGGAAAGCCCATTCGATAAGCCAATAATTAATTTCGCTTAGTCTTGCGTTTTGTCACCTTCTTTCCTCCTTCCTGCTTCAGTTGCCTTTTGTTTTTGTTTTTTTGTTGGCATTGGCATCAAGATCTTTGAAAGAATACACAGCAAAAGCGATACAAGGTTCGCCAGATTGCTGTTCGAAAAAAGCCCGTAGCGACCCAGCGATACAGTTTCAATGAACCGACGCTCCTTTCAGGTAACACATCCCCCATCCCATTTCTTTTTTGACAACAGAAGGGAACATGCCCCCACAGTTATCCATACCCCCACTTTGACTCTTCCATGACAAACCTACCAAGTACGCTCGACCGCCACCGCACTTTGCACCACCCCCACGATCAACATCGTCTTCTTGGAATGGATACCGGAGAGGTTACGAATATGAGCCATTTCACGCCGACCGCAGTGAGGACTGGAGATCTGGTGAATATCATGATGGTGGTATAGGTCTGCAGGATAGAAGCAATGGGCCTTGGGACTTGCGCTCAAGGTAAGGAAAAGCAGTTTCTGGTTGATTGCACAGTGCACAGGCTTTACACGATGGTACAAGCAGTCACACGGAGCAACGATACGATCTTTATCCTCGACGAGATCCCCAACCACCACCACCGCCAACACCGCCACCTCCAACACACGATGCAAGCCTTGAACCCATCATCGAGTCCTTTGTCACCCGTCCCCCCATTTCAAAAGCCGTTCAGTTCCTACAGGACGGGCTCCTCCCTGACGTCCCAGGAAACTACACCCTCCCCACCAACCTGGACCCACACAATCCATATACGTATGAGCAGTTTTTAGATGGGTTGTCCGTGCTTGGGAACTATAGCTTTTTGGTGGATAAGTGCTCGTATGGCAAGAAGGAACGGGCGGGCCGCTTTGCGCGAAATGTCGAGGAAGAACCCGAAGAGGACTACTTTTCTTTGAGGTCTAGACAAAATGCTGATTATGCTCTTCGCTGGTATGTACTATTCTAGAAGCAGAATCATGGGTGACCATGATACATTATTTAATAATCCATGTAGCGTCAAGGAAGGGATTGAAGCCTTCCAAGAAGGTGATTTCGAGCGAGCCCTGAAAAAATACCGACATGCTTTAGAGCAAGATGCGCGATGTGCAGAAGCATACGTTGCGCGTGGTGCCGTGTAAGTCTGACTCTTTGTGCGCATTCAAGCGCAGGCGTTTTATTGATTAGATATCCAGCCACGTAAAGCAAGAAAAATACACAAAAGCCATCGCCGACTTTGAACACGCCCTCAAGGTGGACCCACGACATGCAAACGCTGCCATCTATCTCGCAAAGACACGCAAGCGAGTCGCAGAGCTAGAACAAGAAAAACAAAGTGCCGCGAGGGGAGAGTTTCTAATGGTACGGTTCACGTTTCATTGCCGCCAATACTCTAATGGACTGGTCAGTTGAACAGCTGTTTTGAAAACATAGCCAGTAGATTACGATCCCAGACATCCAACGCATCCAGCAGCACTCTCCAACAAACTCGCGCACGTTCGTTTCCGTTCCGCTGAGAGCTCAACAACGGAACTCATGACAGATCCAGATCCACCAGCTCCCGAACCCATCCATGACCTGACAAAACGCCGTCTCGTCTCCCCACCACCCACCAAACGCGAAAAACGCTCCCCGCACAAAAAAGACAAGAAGAGAAAGAAAAAGAAACGGCGACGACAGAGTGTGGAGAGTTTGAGTAGTAGTGCATCTGAGAGACATGGTCGTGATTATCGTGAAGCGAGTTTGGACAAGAGGGACAAGAGGCGAGCAAGTTATACTTTTAGATCCCCGTCTCGTGACAAGAGTCGACGGTCAGGGTCACACCAACGACGATAAATACAATGCAATCACAAACGCATCTTGTCATTTTTTTTGTTTGTCATATTATAGATAATGTTGCAAAGAAAAACAAAATTGAAAATATAATTTTTATACAGCACGTCCAAATTCCGTGTTCGCCAACCCACGACACTGCAAGCCAAACAACTTGACAGCATCTCGCGTACGTTTAATTAACCTTGACCTAAACCAGATAACATTCAACACCCAAAAAAACAAATAACCAATTATAAAACAAGTACATACCCAACAACAGCCTTGACAAACGTCTTCTTTTCTTCCTGACTGACACGAGGCGTCGGGAACCCCTCATGAGCCAAACACCCCAAAAGCCACGTCCGAGTCCGTTCAGGGTACTTTGTCACCAGTTTAAAAAGCACATCCGCAAGTTTTGGATCCAAAGACCGAGGTTGTTTTCCTGCAATGGCCTTTCACCAGAAAAACAAGAATATTACAACCCTTTCACTCATTCAAACAACAACAAAAAGACATACCTCAACTAACCCCACCACCCAAACCTCCCCAACACCCTCAACAACTCGCCTCGTAACCCCAAACCCTTCATCATCATCCATCCCAATAAACACGACCAAAAAATCCAAAATGGCTGTAACGGCCAGCCGTTCTTGGATGACTAAACCTCGAGGGACGAGTCCACCAAAGAGTGCGTGGAGGATATTGGGTGAGAGTTCATGGAGGGCCCATGGACATCGTATGGTATACTAGTAAACAAAAAACTTGTTTAAAAAACAACGATCGGAAAAATGAATTGTTTTTTTTTGGTTGCTTTTTTTTTACCCGCTGCAACAACTCAAAATACGACGCAACAACATCCGGATACATTTCCATTTGCTCCGTACTCTCCAACCACTGTATCGTCCGCCCAGTCACTTCCACAATCAGCCTCGTAAGTTCCTCTCGTTGCGGGATGGACGCTCTATCCGCGAGTCCATCGCCATAGGCACCTGCGGTTGCGGCTGCGGTGTTGAGGAGGCAGGCGTGGGGATGGTGGGCGTAGAGGTGGGTGATGAGGGTGATGAGGGCTGGGAGATTGGGTGTAAAGATGGGGAGAGTGTTTCGGAGGGTTTCGTTGATAAAACTGCAGAGGGACTGGTTGCATACAAAATGTAGGTGAACATACTTTTATTGTTGTCGTTAGAGGGATGAATAGAGGACAAACCTGCATGACATGTTCATCTGCACCAAAAAGCGTACAAATCCGTTGCGTAACGTCCCATATGACTGCTGCGACTGATTGTTGTTGCGGGTCACTGCTTCCAGCTGCAGGGGGTGCCAACCCCGTGAGTGACTCTGTCGAGCTATCAGCATCGGATTCAGGGTGTTGGATGCCCTGACAACAGGCTTTGAGGTACCCCAATTGATTAAGGACAGTTTCCTTGGTTTGATCCGCGTCCTTGAATCATGTGTGAGATAAAACATACAAGGTAGGCATGTCATATAGAGACTTGCCTGTTGGACAGTATCTAGCGCACATGTGATATCACGGACAATGCCACTCAAGACCGTCAAGAGTCTTGGAAGGAGTAAGGCGTACGGCATGCATTGAATAACATTCGTAACAGCTTTAACCAGCCGAGATTTTTCCAGTGGCTAAAAACCAAACAAAACAAAAGGTGTGAGTAACAGTGTGAGCGTAAAAATCCCAACATGTAATACCTGCAAAGAAGGCCCAACTTGGATCCACAAGTTCACAAGCACATCCGCTCCATCCACCAAATCATTTCGACAGACATCACAGACATTTAATAACCCATCTGCCGCAGCAGTAGACACTTTTCGGGACTGAATCGACGCAATCAGAAAATGGAGTGCTGGCGGCAAATGCGCTGTATTGGCATGTAACCATTCCGCATACGATCCTATAGGAAACAATGAGTATGCTTTGTAGATTGCAATTACCGAGAACGCTCATACCAATCAACCGACACGTTGTCATCTTGACTCGCACCAGCGCATCAGGAGGGGACGCAGCAATTCGTCCCAACTCTGCAAATAATCGAGGCAAATAAATCGTTTCCGAAGACGAAACGGAATCGCTGATGGATTTGATGGCAAATAAGGTGGATTCCAGTACCTATTCACGCACACAAACACTGTAAGCTGCTATACGTATATATGGCATTGCTTCTGCATTTATATATGTACCAACCTGCCAGTCCTCTTGGCCCGTTTGAATATCATCCAGGCTGCTAATGGCGAGTGGAACCAGGTACGCCAACATATCATCGCGGAGGACGTAATGGCACGACAAGAGCGTATCAGCACAGTCACGTCGATAAACCGAAAACCGATCACAAACATCTAGAATTGAAAAAAAACAAAATTAAGAAAAAATCTCAATACACGAATTCAACACTTGACTCACCTGCCGCCCACGTATTCCAAATCGTATCAGGCGGTACACCAATCTTGGAGCAAACCACCTTGACCAACCGCGCAAACACATTTTTCGCAACCCCCATTTTGGCTACCTTGGCATCATCATGATTGGCAGGTACGATTGTAATGACCCCAATCTGATCCGAATCGACTTGAGTGACGGTTCCGGAGCGAAATATGGGACGACCTGTGATGGGGTCCGTGGAGATATCTGCAGAGGTTTCGGAGAGAACACCCGTATCGTCGAGTTCTTCTTGTAATAGAGCCCAAAACGTCAATGGAAGCTCACTGTTTCAATGAGTACTTTTAGGAACGTTGTACAACACATGCAAGATACGTACGTGAGTTCTTGTTCAGCGGCAAAGTACCCCGGAAACCCCGTACATCCCAACATCATATCCAGATAAACATGCACATCAGGTCGTAACAAATGTTTGACAATAAACGAATAAAAATGTTCCCCAAATTCTGTCATGAGACGACACATATTTCGCGCTACATCTTCATCCTGCTCTAATCCACCTCGTCAGCGTGCCTTATCCCGTGAGTAGAAACAAACCCCCACTCACCCTGTATTGCCCTCGCCAATTCATCTCGGACCCACGCACTCGTCAGTACACTCAGGACCGTTTCCGAAAGCGTGGAAGCATACGCCTGGATGCTTTGATGTGATATCAATTCAATAAGGGTATCCACGGCGGCATCCAACATGTCAGGTTCGGGCAAGAGTTGAATCGCCTTGTTCACAAGCGGGCCGAGGGAGCTGTACTGGCGTTATATCAATATCATTCTTGTTTATAACGGTATCGTAGAGTAGGATGGTAACGTACCCAATGGGGATACCATATTGGATCCAACTCTGCATGCATCGGAGGGCTTTTGCTTTCATGTGTTGGAAGGTGGTGAGGTTGGGAAGTGTGGGTGGGGGGACAAGGTCAAGAACGTATTGGATTCGGTTTAGAGCCAAACTAGTTGATTCACTCAATTCCTGCATGACTTTGGCCCTATAACCCAAATAAAACCAATCCAATGAACATAAACTCGACTTTTTCCCAAAATTCCACATGATAGGACATACTGTCGTGAAGGCGACAAATCCGCTTTTCCAACCTCCTCTGGCACAATCGTCAAAAACTCCAACAAAACAAGTTGCAACCCCACCCGCTCCTCATCACTTGCCGCCAACACCATCCGCCCATCCATAGCCTGACACACCCCCGCAATGAAATTCGGCCACTGCCCAGAATCATCCTTGAGTGCAAACAAGGCCAACTAGACCCACATGGGTGATCATGGTATTCAAACAAAAAGGGATATGCCATAAACTTACTGCAACACATAACCGCGTAACGACAAACATGGGGCCATCTGTACTCGACAGTAAACAGCTTAGGAGCTCGTCACGGAGGTGAGGGATTTGTTCTGGTGGTAAAGATTCCCTAATAGTTTGCAATAAAAAGGATGATTAAAGAACTAACTCGAAAAACAACCACCAAACAATCATACCAATCCCGCACAATCTTTTTCTGAAACGTCAGCGCACCAAAAAACTTTGAATGCGAAGCCTAAACAAACAGACGTCACATTATAATTCAAATTCCAGAACGCAAAAACATTCAAGCTTTTGAAAACCTTGCAAAACATACCCGAGACTGAATCAATCTCGACGCAAGACCCCACGCTTCCTGTCCCTGCTGAACCGTCACCAACCATTCCTCGGCGGCTTTTTTGGTGTAGATGGGTGTACCCGGGTCATATAGCTGTCGGATGGCCTATTCGAAATGAGTAGTTGGCAATTGTCTGTTAGCACTCATCTACAAGAGTCTCTTAAGAAAATGGGCCTATATGTACCTCTTCGACATGTTCAATGGACATTTGGGGGAGGATCGTAGATCGCGTCGGGCGCTCTGCTGGGGTGAGGAAAGCTTTTGCTGGATGAGTCATACAAGCTGCAAGCCAGAATTTAAGAACACATACAAAACAAAACAATTCAACAACAACAACAAAAAAACATGTATAGTATTGGTATGGCTACTATCAAAAAACATGGTATGCACGATACAAAAAAAAGGGTCACAGAAAAACACACATCTATACTTTCAAAAACTCGTCTAAAAAAAATTTCGGTAACCTCGTCAACTCGGTCATAACCGCCTTCTACTTTTTGAAAATCCCAAACCCAACGACTCCTTCCAAAACCCCTTCGAACCCTCTCGCCATTTTCTCCAAAGGCCCTTCAACATTATCCACTTCAACAGCCGAATCCGGGTGTCCGCCCCGGTACCCAGAAACGTCCACACGTAAATCTTCGTCAAAACGGTATACATCCCGACTACGGACGCGGACAACGGGGCGGTCTTCGACAATGTCGTTTAGGTGTTCCACCCAGGTTTGGATGGGGCGGAACCAGCTGTTTGTGCGTTTTCGGGGAGTGTCAAGGGGGGGAGAGGGGGAGTCCGTGATCATGACCGCTCCGTCCGATAACTTGCGATGGGCCTTGACCACGACCGAATGAGCCACAACATCGGATGGTATTCCCGACTCGTTCGAGGACACGGAAGCCGATTCAACCTCTTCTGACTCGTCAGGGTGGTCCGCATCGGGTCGCCACCACTGCAGTTTGGCGGGATCCCGTTTCACGCCTTCGACAGGTGCATCCCGTCTCCACCACGCTAGGCTTTCATCTACCTCGACATCGGAATCAAATTCAGAATCCGTGTCCCAACACCGTGGGACTTGTCGCGGCGGCATAAATCCCTCCAAATCATCCTTGACAAAAAGGGGTGTGAAAGGGTTTTGAAGCATGGCATAAAGGCCAGAGATTTCCTTTTCGATTTCAATCCAGTTTCGGTCCGCCGAGCGCTTGAGGTACTCGAAAGCAGCTTCGTGGGCTTCCTGCGTGACATTGAGTTCCGTTTTGTAGGTGACCAAGAGTTCTTTGGCTGCTGCGAGTTCTTCTTCGGCTTCTGCCGCACGGGCCACGCTTTCCTGAGCCATGGACATGTCGGCTTTGATGTGAGCAAGTTCGGTCCGCGCCGCAACGAGCTCGCTTTTGAGACGAAGTTTTTGGCGGTTTTGTTTTGCCACCAGTTCTTGAGCTTGGGCGAGTTGGAGTTTTAGGACACGAATGTCGTCTGACGCAGCCGTGGGGTGTGCTTCGCTTTCGTGGCTAGTGAGGATGCTCTCTGTGCCGTTGGGTGCGTTGCTGGCGCTGTCGGTCGGGTGAATATCGGGGGTGTCGGGTTCGTCGGCGGGTGTTGGGGATTGAGGGGGAGAGGGCGGGGCACTGCCAGTCGGACTGGATGTTCCTGATCCTACGAGGGAAAAGATTTTGTCAATTTTCGTATGCGCTTCTGATGACAATATCATGACCATGTTCAGGCCCATAGCTCAGGAAAAGACATGGAATGGCGAAAGCCGAGCCCTCACTGTTATCCACATGTGCCCCACTGAATACGCTCTCAAAACGCTAATTCAGGGACGAGACGGAATGACGAAAGCTATATCTCACCGTCATCCAGCAAAAGTGTCCAGTGAAGACGCGCCCGACCGTGTCCAAACACACTAGCTCAGAAAGAGACGGCATGGCAAAACGCCAACTCCTTGCCGTCATCCACTAAAATACCGCTTTCCATCACTTGAACATTCCCACCATTTCTCAACCCCCACGTCCATGTTCACTTGTATTCAATCTAACCCGGTCGGTACTCACCCAAATCATCCACATCCCAAACCTTAACCTCCCCATCGACACAAGCCGTCACCAATCTCCCCCGCCCAGCCACAAGCGCCACGACTTTTTGCTCAACCTCAAAAGCCCTCGTCACACGCCCTGCTTTGACATCCCACTCCAACACACTTGCATCTCCCGCGCTGTACAATTTGCCCTTTGATAAGACGAGAGAGTGGACGGGCGAGGTGTGGCCCTTGAGGGTGCGGAGGGTTTGGCCGGTGCCAATGTCGAGGACGTGGATGGTGCCGTCGTAGGCGGCGCTGTAGAGGAGGTCGCGGCCGAGACAGAGCGTGAGGACTTGGGACTGATGCTCTTGGTACGCGACAATGCAGCGGCCTGTATTTAAAAGAGGAGATGTTAGCCATGTGTATTGAAAGCGAGCGGTAGCTCTCGCTCCTCCCAGTCGCTACACTGCAACGCGGAAGAGTGATAGGTGCACCTAGCCCATCATGTCGCCCAGCGAGTTGTGGAAGCAACCAGCGCTCGCCTCCCAGTCGCTAGCCTGCAACGCGGAAGATTGATAGGTGCACATAGCCCATCATGTCGCCCAGCGAGTTGTGGAAGCAACCAGCGCTCGCCTCCCAGCCGCTAGCCTGCAACGCAAAGGTGGGGCAGGTGCACCTAGCGAATATACCGCCCGAACCTGAACCCAGACCCTAACCACTAGCCCAACAATTACCCAACAAAGCTCGAACCTTAGACCCGAACTCTAGCCCATCCCTAACCCAAAACCGAACTCTAACCGAACCTGAAGCCCGCAACCCAACCATTAACGACTAACCCGAACCTTAATCCCCTAACCCAACTCTAACCCGAACGCTAACCATCACTCAACTCCCCTTACCTAAATCCCAACCTCCCCCTAATCCCTGATCCCTAATCCCCAACTCCAACACTCACCAGTAGACATGTCCCATACTCGAACCGTTCGATCTGCACCGCTTGAATACAATCTCTTTCCGTCAGCACACAATGCCGTCACACTCCCCGAGTGCCCTCTGAGCATCCATCTCCTCCGACAACTTCTGGCATCCCACTCACTGACACCACCATCTTGACCTCCAGAGTACAATTTCCCTTCAGGCGTAAAGCACAATGCCAAGACAGGCCCTTTGTGACCAATGACACTCCTTGCACAAGCACCCGAGGACAAGGACCAAACACGGATAGAGCCGTCCTCGTAGCCTGAAAATAGCCTGCGAGCACTGGAAGCCAGACTAGAGACATTTGCACCGGTTGTCACAAAGGAGCGCAGCGTCGAGTGTGAGAGGGTATTGTATTCCAGGACAGAAGCGTGCGTGCCTACGTAGAGCGTGTCACTGTTGGTGGCGAGACAAGAGACATGATTGTTTGTGTCGAGCGGCAGCCTCGAGTCCGTGCTTGTTGGGTGATAAAGAGGAGGAGGAGAAAGAGAAGAAGAAGAAGGAAGAGGTGGGGATTTAAAGAGAGACCAGAGACTGTCCATGACCGTCCCAATCCCCTTGTCGTGAGCGGTGGTGGCGGAAGGAACAAGCGTCGAGCGATGAGTGTCCTTGTTATTATGAATAGCAAGACTACTTGTGTTAGTAGTAGTAGTAATAAGAGAAGAAGAAGACAAGGAAGGCAATAAACGCATTGTCTATACAAATCTATGCAATCCAATGCAAAAAACCAACCCAACAAAGGAGGGGACGAAAGCGGTCCAATGAGTCATTCAATGGTGAAGCGGAGTAAAAAAAATAAAATTATGTGGGGAGCGAGGATTGAACCCTTCAAATGTCATGTGATTGGGGGGGGAGAGAGAGGGGGAAACACATACGGGGGAGTGTGAATAAGCAAATGAGCGAGATTGTGTTTTTGATTAGAGTTTGGAATAAGATGAGCATTTGGGGAGATGGAGGATTAAGATGAGATGAGCGTTGAGATGAGGGTTTGGTTTAAAAGTCACTTTTGCGAGATTTTGCATTTAACGCTTGCATGGATAGTTATTCAATGCATTTGCACTTGGGCTTTCATGCTCAACTTTTTTATTTCTTCTTGCAATGAAGGGAATTTCACACTTTCACACTTGTACATTGGAATGCATTGGAATGTATTCATATTTCATCCTTGTTGCATCTCGCAACTCTTCCCAACTGCGGGCTTTTGCAAGTCATGATCGTCATTAGACGCTTGTATGCTTGTCCCATTCGCACACTTGTTCGCTCTTCTCACTCTCTCGCATCTCGCATCCCTTTTACCCAACCTTCTCCCTCCCAACAGAGAGGTATTTCACATGTGGAATTAGCAAAATATACTCGATTATGACATTTTCTTTTCTAGCCCTTGCAAAGTACCTCGACTACTTTAACAGGTCAAATTGGGTAAAGCAAAAATGTCTGGCCATGGGAGTCGAACACAAGGTCCTCGAGACTGCTCTCAAAGAGTACAAAGAGAGTCTCTTGCGTGACTCTGTCAATGGCTTGAGTCTCGCCGACGCAGTCGCTCATATCGAGGCCAATAGTGAGTATCGATTGTATCAATGGAAGGGTTCCTCGCTATTGCTAACACATTGGGTCTTATTGTTGCCAGGCAAAATGGACAAGGTCCTCCTGCCTGCATTCTACACTTTTCTCGCGGATCGATACCCACAAAAGGTCGAGCTCTTGCGCTCTCTCATGAGCTTTAGCGATCTGACTTCTCCCGCCGACTGGCACTCTGGCGCTCGCTCCATGAAGAGGTGGGTATTTGGCTTCGAGTTTCAGTTTGGGGTTCGTGTTCGTGTTAGGGTTCAGGCTCAGTGTTTTAGGGTTTGGGATTTGGATTTGGGACTGGAATTGGGATAGGGCCATGACTCGCTGGCGTTCGTTGCTAACGCACGTCATGGAGCTATAGTGGAGGGTAACATTGAGCTATGGCGAGTGCGAGAGCACATGAAGAGGGAGCCCGTCGTTGTCCTGGAAAGCTTGCCTCTGTGCAATCGCACTGCCGTTCGTTGCACGACACTTGTGACTGACATGTGTTATATTTGTTTAGGAAAATCATTATGCATGTGGGACCGACAAATTCAGGGAAAACGTATGCTGCCCTCCAACGCCTCGAACAATGCGCAACCGGCATCTACTGCGGTCCGCTGCGTCTCCTCGCCCATGAAGTCTACGAACGCTTAAACAGTAAAGGCGTGCCCTGCAACTTGCTCACAGGAGAAGAACGGAGAGAGAGCGACGGGGTCTTTAAATGGGCCGCAACCGTCGAAATGGCGCCCGTCACGAAAAGATTTAATGTTGCCGTATTAGACGAGATTCAAATGATTGGAGACCGGACCCGAGGCTGGGCCTGGACGCAAGCCCTCTTGGGACTTCAAGCGGAAGAAATTCACGTTTGTGGTGAACCCACGGCCGTACCTCTCGTTCAGGCCATGGCAAAGGAAACGGGGGACCACGTGCAAATCAACACTTATCAGCGTCTCACGGGGCTGACAGTCAAGGGGGCTGGACTGGGAGGCAAGCTGGCGGACCTCAAACGGGGAGACTGCGTCGTGACCTTTTCGAGACAAAACATTTTTGCCCTCAAGAGGCAGATTGAGGAAAAGACGCGGTTGCGTGCTGCAGTCATTTACGGAAGCTTGCCCCCGGAAACGAGGGCTGAACAAGCCAAACTCTTTAATGATCCCAATAGCGTGTATGATGTGCTGGTGGCTTCGGACGCTATCGGCATGGGACTCAACTTGTATGTTGCACATGTTCCTCGCCCAAATTTCATTGTCACTCACTCTTTTGCATTTCCAGAAATATTGGGCGCATGATTTTTGAGCGCGTTGAAAAATGGGACGGAATGCGAACAAAATCTTTGACGGTCTCGGAAATCAAACAAATTGCAGGACGTGCAGGGCGTTTCGGAACTCAGTATGAGAATGGGGAGGTTTGCACGTATGTTTTGCAGTTGTTGCCTTACCTTGCCATCAATACTTGATACTGATACTCTATACGCTGGTGCAGACTGGATGATTATGATATGCACACGTTGAGAAGGGCCATGAAAGTCAAGGCTCCCAATGTCATGGTAAAAGCGTTGCGCTCAATTGGAGTTTTTTAGCATGTATATACTAAAAGCCAATCTAGTCCGCGGGACTTCATCCTACCCTGGAACAAATTGAGAGCTTTTCAAAATACCTCCCCAACGAATCCCTCGCATCCCTACTCGTACGTGTTGTTGATCTTTGGATGCCAACGACATGATGACACTTCACTCATAAAAACTTCCACAGGACCGTTTTGAAGACCTGGCCTCTCTCGGCGGTCGTTACTTTCTCTGCAACCTCGACTCGCAACGCGCCATCGCCAACACCATCGCCGCCGTCCCGCTCACCCTCCGCGACCGCTACATTTTTCTCCTGGCCCCGTGCAACATCAAAGATACCCTCCTCGCCTCCCGCATGCTTACGTTTGCCAAAGCCCACGCTTCTGGCACAGAATGCCCGCTAGAACCCCACATTTCCCTTCCGACCCACGCCCCGAACACGATTGAAGACCTTCGGGACCTGGAAGCTCAGCACCGGGTCATTATATTGTACATGTGGTTGAGTCAGCGGTTTGCCGAAACGTTTACGGATGTATCAGGTGCGAGCGTGCTGAAACGCCAGTGTGAGCGATTGATTAATACTGGATTGGCGGAATTGACATTTGAGCGCCGTCGGAAAAAGAGCAAACCGCGCAACAGGTTGGGTGATGACGCTCGTGTGGAGACTGTGGAGACAGAGACCCCTTTGTCACCTCCATCACATTCTGATGTGAACCAAGGCATTTTGGATCTGTTGCCCCAAAACAAGCACAAGCGTCCTGGTATGGGCAAAAAGCCTCGGTCCACAGAGACTGTTATTGTGAATTTTTTGAAAAAGACGCTGGACCGGCCGGCAAAGTCTGGGGGTAGTGAGGAGCGGTATTAGTAGATGGTTTATTTTATATGGCAGGGTGTATATAGATTTTGCATTTATTTATATTATAATTATATTTCTTGTTGCATGTCGAGTTTGTTGATCCAGGGAGTGGCTTGGCATGATGACCCAAGCAACCGTATTTTTGTCCGGTTGTCGTGGTTGGACCACGCTGGTGAACGATCGCCGGCATTTACCATTGTTAACATCACCATGTCTCTGTGCCGAGTCTACCCCCGTCGCCTCTTGCTCCCTTTATCCTATCGAACATTTGCCAGCGCCCCCTCCCCCGTCTTTGCAGCCAATTCCACCTCAACCCGCACCAAAGCCAAACGCGTCCTCGCAGCCGTTGGATGCATTAGTGTAGGCGGCCTAGCCCTCTACCGCACAATGTCGTCCGACACACCCGCACCCAGCCCCCCAAAACCAACATTTGTCCCACGTCCCATAGTCATTTGCGGCCCATCCGGAAGCGGCAAATCCACTCTCCTCACCCGACTCTTTAAAGACTACCCAACCGAATTCGGGTTCAGTATCTCGCATACGACTCGTTCACCACGTCCAGGAGAGACCAATGGAAAAGAATACCATTTCACAGACCGTGATAGCATGCTAAAATCCATTTCCCAAAACGAGTTTCTGGAACATGCGGAATTTGCGTCGAATTTGTATGGAACGTCGTTTAAGGCCGTTCAGTCCGTTTTGGATGCCAATAAGCATGTTATTTTGGATATTGATGTACAGGGGGTGCAACAATTGCAACAAGCCATACGAAATGGAAAAGGGTTCACCACTCGTCCTCTTTTTATTTTTGTTGCGCCGCCTGATGTGGGGGTTTTGGAACGGCGGTTAAGAGGTCGTGGGACGGAGAATGAAAGTAGTTTGAAAAAGCGGTTGGAGGCTGCTACACGAGAATTGGAGTGGGGGTTGGGCAAAGGGAATGTGGATGTTGTGATTGTGAATGAGGATGTGGATAGGGCTTATGAGGAGCTTAAGCGGGCGATTTTTGGTGATAACAAGGTGTGATTGTTGCACCAGAAAAGAATGGGGTTGATAGATAGTATTTATTAAAACACCAGAGGACGTTGAGCTGGCCATACCCGTTCTATCCAAACAAAAGTACCTATATAAACACATGCACATTGATTTCGACAAACACTCTTGCAACTCACCACTTTCAAGTACAAGCGTAAAGGATTTCGCGTAAATGTCTATCCACTCTTCAATGGACATGACGGTTTTTGACTGAATAATAGCCGACAAGAGCGATGATCTTGGGATGGAATCTCTAAACTGCGTTGTCAATTCATCCAAAGCCACTTTTAAATCATTCTAAACACAAAAAGATATTAGCTACCAAATTAAAAACACTCCATAAAAACAAAACTGACCTTTCCCATTGTCCCCAGCCCAACCCCAACCTTACACAACTCTACACAAACACCCGCAACAACGTCTTCATCCACTTCAACAACATCCTCCCCACCAACCCCAGCCCGCCCTTCCAAAACCCTCCCAGCCCAAAACGGGAAAAACCGATGATAAACATCATCCAACACAGCGAGTACCTTACTTTTCCCCAACAATGGATGAGATTGTAACGAAGTCATGAATGCATATGTGGTTTTTGTGGAGGATTCGAGGATGTGGATGTAGGTTTCTGGATAGAGGACTAAAAGACCTGTTATGAGATCTGTATCTGTTTGATGGGTTTTGAATAGTTTTTGGTAGTTTGCTAAAAGACGACCATAGTTTACTAATTGTTAATTTGCTGTGCTTTTTGTTCTTGTTGTCAAATGTACTTACCAATGATTTCTGAGCGGTCAGTTTGGGGAGGTATGGATCCACAGACAATGATCCGATACAGTAATGTGGTTTTGTTTTGGCGGGCGAGACTGTCGCGGATCGTGTCGAGAAGGGATATGCGTTTTGGGTCATCGGGGGTGGGTGGTGTGAGGGGTGGGGTGGACATTTGACGTTTATTTTTTGTATTTGGGAATGGAATATCCAAAAAGGCGACAAGAAACGATGGAGGGGCCCCTTGCTTCTCCGCTCGACGTGGGTTATTACGTGATCAGAATTGGTAAGTTTTTAAGGACAGTTTCGCGACTTGGACTTTTGACAGCTTTCTGTGTGTGTGGGTAGAGTTTTGTTGTTGGAATGTCCATTCCGCTTATCCGACATTTCCACTTTGGTTGTCCACTCGTATTTGTGCATTTGGCAAAAAGAGTCGTGAGAGTCAAGGTCTTGTTGTTTGTTGTGGCATTGGTTGGGTTCTTGTTTGACCTCTAGTCGTTTTTCGGTTTGCGTTTGGGTGAGTCTCCCCATTATCGACTAAAGTAATCTTGCGAGCTCATTTGGTATCGTTCGTAGTGGGGTGATGGTGTTTCATACGAATGGTGGGCTGGAAGGGGAACGGGGTGTCACGACCTCTGCTCCCCATCCCTTTCAAGCCGCCGCACAAACACTTCTCAGCGCACTGGAAAACTTGATGCTCATTGACGAACATGGGCATTCACGGACCCAAACAACCCTGTCAGCACGCGGCGATGCGCTATTCCATCCCGGTAAACGTCGACCCTCTGAAAAAACACCACGACAAACCGACGACGAAATGGATATCGACGAAACAGAAAAAGAGTCAGATCGATCCCCGTTGAAACGAAAACGGGATGCATCGGCGTTTCCATTACCGGATGCCAAATCCCATCGTATCTCTGCTGCTCTTTCTTCAAGGCTACAGCGGAGCTTACGTGTTGCAGAGGGCACGGACGATCCATTACTTCCTACCCCCATTGAACCCACCGACTCATCCCGCCCAAATTTTCCCAGACGCACCACAACCCGTCGTCCCTCCCGCCCACCACGAAACGACAGCGTCACCTCCCTCGACACAGACATGCACGCAACAGATCTCATCCGTGATATGAGCGCCTCCTCCCTTTCCTCGCCCATTAGCCCCGTGTTTGGTTTATCCCGTGGAAGCAGTTACTCCGAACTAGCCGACCCCATGTCCATTACAGCGTGGATTGAATGCCAGGCCCGTCGGAACCACATGTCAGTCCCCAAAATGCAAGACGCGTGGAACGAAAAGCGGAAAGAGTTGGAATATAATTTAACGCTCCTTGCTAATGGAGTCCCGAGTGATTCTTATCAGGATTTGAAAAGTATTACGGAAAAGATTATGGAGAGTGCCAAGTGGCTTTCGGTTGGGAATTTGGATGAGCTTGGTGTGAGTTGACTTGTTTTTCCCACCCCCGACTTTCTGTTGATAACAAACGTTTGTGTAGGACCTGGTTCCCCTCTGGCGCATGATGGAACCCAACATTGACAATGTAGTCCACTACATCCGCATTGTCGAAGACATGAAATCCACCATCCAAACCTCCTTCCACATGACAGGCTGCCTCCCAACAGACCTAACCCGCATGCGCACCTGCCTAGACGAAAAGAAACACTTGTGGGGCACGACACTCTCTGATGACGCGAATGCATGGCGGGTCCTTGGTTTTCCTGTGGATGAATTGCGGGGTGTGTTGGCTGCGGCTGCTGCGTGGATGTACGGACTGGCATGGGCATGTTTTGTCCAGATTGATAATGAAGTGAATCGATTGGATCGACCTGATGGAATTCAATCCGTATGTACCAGAATCCCGACATTTTCACTCGCACGTAAACTAACGACGCTTGAAACAGTTGATGGACCCAATTTTCTCTGCCCTCCTCTTTGCCAAAGACTGCGCCGAATTCATCCAAAAACCATTTTACCCCCGCGTTCTCATCGCAGCGTATACCCTCACAACCCTCTACACAACATGTACCCTCACAGCCTTTTCCCAACTCCTCCAACGCTCCAATAAACCCCGAACCGAAGTCCGCGTTTTACACCTCTTTGGCAACCTTGTTCGTATCCTCGACGGTATCCATCTCATGCGGGGCCCACCCATCGATGATCCAGCTTTAGATTCAGTGGCACAATCAACAGTTGAAGCGGGTCTCCAGTTGTGTGAATACGTTGCTGCGAGGAATTGTGTGGAGGGTGTGGGTGGGCGACATGTTTTACTGGTAGATCTTGTGTGTCGGTTTGTGGGTGCTGTTGTACGGATGGGCAAGAGTGCGGGGGATGAGGAGCGGTTAAAGAGGCTTTTGGGACGGGTGCCGGTTGAGAGTGGGTGAAGCCTCTCATAAAAAACAATTGTGGGATGTTTGTGTGTGATTGAGGAATTTGGTTTGTAAAATCTCCCTTTTTAACAGATTGGATGTCAGGGATTTTTTAGGTCTTGCGTTGATGTCCCTAAATTGTATAATCCTTGGTGGTCATGACCGAGATGAAATGCAAAAGATGAAAGGCAGTATCGTATTTTTGGTGCAGGAATGTGCAAGACAAGCACTGGCTGTACCAAAGCAAACGGTCTGGGATATCAACATTTTGGCACCAGAAAGTGTTCAAATGGGGGAGTGTATTTTGCAGATATGATTTATTGTGGCGACCACAAAGGTTTGCGTAAGTTGGTATCAGGCAATGCAAGTCTATTGATTAATAAAGTTTGGTGGTATTTCATCTAGTGTCCTCTCTTTTTACAAGAAGCTTTCATGTTGTCAAAAGCCCAGGGGGATAACGGAGGAAGATCATTCTGGCATGTGTGTTTTGCGCAGCAAATAAACCCAAAATGCTTCAATTGTCCAAGCGGCCCATCAAAAGAAAAAAACAAAGCCTTTGGGGTTTTTATTCGACGTTTAGAACACTTTCCACACACACACACACTTGCAGAAGAGCTCTTGGAGGGCCCCACCACTCCTTTTGAAAGCCCCTTGTATCTTTCACGCGCTGAACGGACCTTTATCCCCTCCGTCCCCAAAAATAACACTCGCCAATTGGGAGGCAACCCCCTCCACCCGTTTTATCAGAAACCTTTTTATACGCACCTTTCTCTGCTCTCCCCCCACCACCACCACCACCAGCACACACACACACACACACGCAGAATCAAAATGTGCGCACACGATCGTGCCGAACCCGCGGTCATTACACCCAAAGAACTCGGCGAGTGTAATAAGCCTGAGCGGGCTCTACTGGCTGTTCGTGGCAAAGTGTACAATGTGACAGAGTTTGTGGAGCGCCATCCGGGTGGACGGGATATTCTGTTGATGGCCGCTGGAAGGGATGTAACGCAGGTTTTTGAGACGTATCATGATGAAAAGGCGGAAAAGGTGTTGAGGTATGGTTTTTTGTTTGCAATTCTTGCGAGGTGTGAGCATGAATGTTTGGTGTTGATTGTTTTTTCTTTTATAGCAAGTACCATGTGGGAGACTTGACGGACCCTGGCCCACTTCCAACCTTTCCCCTCCCCTCAACGTTCAACACGACACTCCGCCAACGTATCGCCGACTACTTTACCACTACACACCAAGACTCCCAAATACCATCCTTACCATACACTCCACTACCTCCTCATCGCC